GGAGGACTGTCTGCCAGGCGATGCGTGTCGAGACGCTTTATTACAGATTCGGAGCGATGCCCAAATCAGGCTCGTCCGCCTGCGCGAGTTGAGCTCGCCGGGCGCGCCGCGGGGGGCGATGGCTTCGCCCTCCCCCCGTGCCCATTTCTGACCCGCAGCTTCGTCGCAGCTGTTGTGGGTTGGCTCGAGACACAGACCGCGGCCCGCCCGCCCGGCGCGCGCCCCCTCCCGGGCGCCCTCCCCCGGCCGGCTGGTCCCCTCATATCTTGTTGTTGGCCTAATCTTAACGGGCGCCATCATGCTCATCTAGCCATGGCATTTAGGGATACATTACCCACATTGAAGATGAACCTGAGCAAGATATTACTACAGGAAGAAGATGAAGGGCAACGATGACGAGACGATCATGATCACAGTTTGCCTATTGACGCGGCCAAGAAAGAGCCCATATCATCAATGAGTTGGCGAAATACTGAAGTGGCCTCCCGGCCCTTTGTTCTTTTTTGTTGCGGTGGCGCGGCCCCCGTGCTGCGTGGCGGGGCGCTTGCTCGTGGTGGGGGGGCGATTGCGATAGCCCGAAGATTCCACGTGCCGGACGAGAGGGCCCCCGGGCGGGCGCGCCAGAGCGATTGGGAGAGAGACGGAGAGGGAGAGAAAGAGAGAGAGAGAGAGGGAGAGGGAGGGAGAAACAAAGAAGAAAACATATAATAATAATGAGAAGAATAATAAGTATTGTTCAAATTCGGATACCTCGACCACTTTGTGTGTTCTGAGGATGAACTTCTCTCGCGCGTCGGCGACCCATATTTTCCCCCCAACCCTTCTTGGTTAGGTCTTCGTTTTAAATAGAGCACCGCTGTCGCGTCTCCCTTCTCCTCCTCCCGCCTCCTCCCGCCTCCTCCCGCCTCCTGCCTCTCGCCGCTTTCTCGCCTCCTGCCCCCCGGGACCTCGCCGTCCCTTGGGGGGGGGGGCTGCGATCTGCGAATCCGTCGCCACTTTCGAGGGCCGTTGGTGGGTCCAGCGGAGTGAGGCACCGCGCAGACCTGAGCGAGACCTCGCCGTCTATGGAGGGCTGCGATCTGCGAAACTGTCGCCACTTTCGAGGGCTGCTGGTGGGTCCAACGGAGTGAGGGACCGCGCTGATCTGAGCGAGACCGCGTCGTCCCTGGAGGGGGGGGCTGCGATCTGCGAAACTGTAGTCACTTTCGATTGCTGCTGGTGGGTCCAGCGGGGTGAGGGAATGAGGCACCGCGCAGATCTGAGCGAGACCTCGCCGTCCTTGGGGGGCTGCGATCTGCGAAACTGTCGCCACTTTCGAGGGCTGCTGGTGGGTCCAGCGTAGTGGGGCACCGCGCAGACCTGAGCGAGACCTCGCCGTTCCTGGGCTGGGGCCTGCGATCTGCGAAACAGTCGCCACTTTCGAGGGCTGCTGGTGGGCCCAGCGGAGTGAGGCACTGGCAGATCTGAGCGAGACTTCGCCGTCCTTGGGGGGGCTGCGATCTGCGGAACTGTCGCCACTTTCGAGGGCTGCTGGTGGGTCCAACGGAGTGAGGCACCGCGCAGACCTGAGCGAGACCGCGTCGTCCTTGTCTCCACTTTCGAGGGCTGCTGGTGGGTCCAGCGGAGTGAGGGACCGCGCGGATCTGAGCGAGACCTCGCCATCCTGGGCGGCTGCGAGCCTCACGAATGCTGCTCGCAGAATTATATGTGCCCATGTCACGTCATTACCTTTGTATAACGTGTCCCAGGCTACTCGTGCCCCGCATTGCGCAGGGTTGGGCACGTCGCCAGGGTAATTTGTCCGACCTTAGGTTGCAACAATATTTGTTGTTTTTGTTGCTCTCATTGGTTGATTGTTTGTGGTTCAACGTGGTCGCGCGAAATTGCAAAGCGAGTGCAGACCATTATTTGCCAGATGGGCCAGGGAGCGTAGTTGTGTCCTATGTTTTTTTTCGTGCACGTCTAAAGTCAAATGGAGGTAACTGTTGATAGGCACGCTCGCAATGCTAATGACAAATATGGTCGTTCTTGAGTGTTGCCGCTGTTGTTCGGCGACAGGGCCCAGGCAGACAGAAAGAGAATGGCAAAGGCACAGACAGTAAAACTAACATAATGTGCAGCACTGAAGCAAATTACCTGTGCCAGTTGATTATATGGATTGCATATGCGCATTCCGACCTTAGGTTGCAACAATATGTGTTGTTTTTCTTGCTCTCATTGGTTGATTGTTTGTGGTTCAACGTGGTGCGCGCGAAATTGCAGAGCAAGTGCAGGCCATTCCTTGCCAGATGGGCCAGGGAGCGTAGTTTTGTCTTAATTGTTTTTCGAGCACGTCAAAGGTGGTAATTGTTGATAGGCACGCTCGCAATGCTAATTACAGGTACGGCCGTCCTTGAGCGTTGCCGTTGTTGTTCGGGGACAGGGCCCAGACAGACAGGCAGAGTGAATGGCAAAGGCACGGACATTGAGACTCACAGAATGTGCAGCACTGTAGAGAATGACCTGTGCCAGTTGATTATGTGGATTGCATGTGCGCATTAAAATAAGTTCATAGATCTGTATAAATATATAATATAATATATATATATATATATATATATTATATATATATATATATATATATACATATATATATACATATATACATATATATATATATATATATACTTATGAAATAGGGCCGACATTCGCTGCTGGAGGCAGCTTCGACTGGCGCTCGGGATCGGGCTCCGCGGGGGTGCATGCCCGTAGCCCGCGCGTCGCGATCCATGCTTGCCTTCCTAAGGCAGGGTTTGGCGGCCGGGGAAAGCGGAACGCGCGCGGGGGGGCCAGGTCGGGCCTCGGGGCCACATCGCGAGCGCGCGCCAGAGAGACACGGCCTGGGGGCGAGCGACGGGGTGGAACAACGAGAGAGAGAGAGAAAGAGCAAACAAAAAGACATACAAGAAAGAGATAAAGAGACACCCCGGGGAAGCGGAACGAGCTTGGGGGCAACAACATGTAAACGCGCACCACCACTATCTGGCCGCGAGATGGCAAGACAGAGACACAGACAGAGGCAACAGACAGACAGACAGACATGCAGAGATAGTTGACGTAGCATCCCCACAGGGGGTCCCCGAACCACGCCGGGAATACCCGCCGCAGCCAGAAAAAGTGGAACCGCACGGCCCGTCTGCCGGCGGAGGGGGTGGGGGAGGGGAGAGGGGGAGGAGGAGAGGGAGGAAGGGAAGGAGGACGAGGAGAAGCTGGAGGAGTTGACAGAAACAGCGCCATGAACAGGTCGGGGGGAGGTACGGTAGGTTCGTGTTGTGTCGACTAGGCGGCGACCAAGCGGGGGCGTTCGAGGTTGAACGCCGCTGGTGGCACCAAACCGGCCGAGATCGAGCGTTTTGCGCTATCGGGAACCGCGATCGTCCAAGTTTGAACGATCCACACGGTGTCAAGTACCAGCGCCCGAATCGTCACGACCCGAACATGTTGCACATTCGAGACGCTGACACAAGGAACAGTTTGGGTTCGGAAGGGATTCGTTGTTCCTGAAGTCCTTCCGCCATTTTGGCTCAAGCCGTTGAGCAGCGAGCGAAAGCCCCATTGTTCAAGCCGGCGTGGTGATGGATCCCTCGGCCGGAGCGCGAGCGTCGCCTTGTTGACGATGATGGTTGCGGGCAGGGTTGCCAGTCGGGCGATTCTAGGAGGAGTCGTGCGGCGCGTTCCGCCGCCGCGAGGAGAGCAAAGAAGAGTTCGGATGCTGCGATTTGGCGTTTTGAGCCGCCATTTGGAGGAGGCGCATTCCCTAGCTGTGGCCCTGAACTCGGAGATCCCCATCCATGACATCCGGCACGAATGTTTGCGATGAGTTGCGTGACGAGTTGCATGCCAGAGTCAAGCTGATCATTCCAGTGCTAGCGGCTGGCCTTTCGGGATCGACGGTGTCAGGAGTGGCGAGAGCTAGGCATAACATCGCTTCGCACGGCTTCGAAACGCCTGCCAAGATCATCGAGAAGGCTTCGCAATCCGAGCTGAACGCCATCCAGCGGCGGCCTGGGGGCCATCAGGATGCGCTGCGCGCGGTTGCGGCCAGGGCGCCTGCCATCGCCCGCCTTCCCAGCCCCGTCTCCGTGGACGCCGTCACAGGGGAAAGCGGGGAGATCGAGGCGGAACTGGAGGCAGCCGTTCAGCTTGCGCCCCAGGCTCCTTGCATGCGGTGCGCGCGTGGTGCGATCGCCTTCTCGTCGGTCGCCGTCTCACCATGCGCTGGGCGCCGTGCTAGAGGGCCGCCTCGTAGAACGGGGGCCCCGCGGTTTCTGGCGCGGCCGTTCGTGCTCCGAGCCGAAGCGGCGTGCCTTGCGCCGCTGGAGGGGCTTCACGCGCAGATGAGCGTTCGGGCCCCATCGGGGGATGACTGCCCTGCTGCCGGGGCCGCGGCGGCCGTGCGGGAGTGGAGTTCGACTGCACGCGAGCGTCTCGAGGAGCTGGCGCAGTGGGCGGGTGCTGCAGGTTCATCCACGGGACGTCCGTTCGCTCGGCAACAGGAGCGGCTCGGCGAAGGCAATTTCAGGGGCGCCCGCGGCGTCGGACCGCCTACTGATGCATCGAGCAAGCAGCAGTAGTCTGTCTCAGTTCGCGCTGCAGGTCCTCGCTTCGTGTTTGTCACCGAGGGTCCGCACCTTTTTGTTTCCCTCTCTCTCTCTGTAGCATTCTGCCGCAACGGCACATTGGAAGCAGAGTGATCTGCAAGGTGCGACGAATGTTGCAATCATATTGTTTTCTCTGAGCGACGCTGCGTTGGAATGTTCACGTGTCGTGCCTTCCTTTGTGTGTTGTAGCATACAATGAATTTTTCGGGCCCTCGTCCTTCTCACCTTCCCCCTCCCCGCCTTCTAATCGGCCGGCGGGGGGGAGGGCCGGGGCGGCGTCTGGAAGCATGTGGGGCCGTCCGAAATAGCGACAGCGTGCTATTTGTGTTATCCGCTCAAGTTCTTCGGGCTCAGGCGTTGATGCCTAGCGCGCCTGAGCTGGACCCCATCGGCTCGCCCACATCTTCCCGCGCGGGCAGCGCGATACCGTCTGCTGGCTCGTCGTGGGAGCTGGTGGGCGCCGAGAGCGAGGTGCCGCCCTTCCTCATCGCTGGGCAGGCGCCGAGCCTGCCGGAGGGCGGGGAGCGCATCCTCGCAATGGCGCGCTGCGGCGGGCCGCTCCTGGTGTTTTTGTGGACGCTCCTGACGGTGGTGCGCGACCCGCCCAGCGAGGAGTCCGAGTTCGGTGACGAGGAGGACTACCTTCCCGAGTTGTCGATGCCTGTGGAAGTATGGAGCAGGCGCTATCTTCGACGGAGTGCTACAGATGGCGTGGAAGTGTTTCTCGTTCGAAGGAAGTCGGGGACTTGCTTGGTGGTTCTCCAGCCAGACCTCAGCATGGGGACGATCACGATCACGGCGAAGTCGACGTTGCTCAACAACCCGCTGCCCGGAGTGCGCTGGCAACCCATGCCGGTCTTGTCTCAGGCGCAGCGGGGCAGCTTCATGGCGCAGGCGACCGACGGGCTGAGGGCAGGGACCATTCCTGCCCTGGAGCTCCACAGGCTTGGGCGCCAGGCGCAGCAGGCAGTCGCAGCCAACCTGGCCTACGCGGTGGCAAGTTCGGCTCGCTCTTCCTTTCGTACGCTGCGCTGGGCTTTGCGCTCGCCGTGGCATGCTGGCCTTGTGCTTCGTGTCGTGGGAGGCCTTGAAGTACCTCGGCGTTGTCGACCTGATCTGGGGGACGGCGACAGCCGTTCGGGGCTGGATGGTGACTTGCAAGGATGCGTTCGTGGAGTCGTCCGAGACCCCGCAGGAGTGGGTGGTCTACTTGGGCGAGTGGGTGGAACGGGCTCGCAAGCTGATGCCTTTGCGTCGGTGGGCGGCTATCCTCCTCGCCCTTGGCTTGCTGATGGCGCGGGGAGTTCACGAGATGCAGGAGACGGGCGAGGCTGGTCAATCCACGGTGGCATCATCTTCGTCTTCTTCCGTCGTCGGGGAGCCGCCGCCCACCGCCGCCGTGTCACCACCTTGGCCTCCGCCCGTCCCCCCGCCTGGCTGGGATCCGCAGTTGTTGGCCACTCAGCTCAGCGACCTCGCCGCGTCGCAGCAGGCCACGATGGGGGAGATCAGCGAGATGCGCGCGGCCGAGCGGACCAGAGAGTTGCGGCGAGGGGTGCTCGAGTCTTCCGCCCAGTCCAGGGGGCGTTCAGGGGCGGGGGCCAAAAAGCAGGTGGTCGAGGGCATGATGGGTGTTTGGATCAGTTCGAGGCTCAGTTGAAGGGGGGGGCTCAGCCCGAGGTGAGCGCGGGGGAGCGGGTGGCCGCGATCGAGGCTGCCGCTCCGTCCTCGTCCGCTGCGGCTACCGCGGGTTCGCCGGCGAAGACTTCGCCATCCTCGTTGCTGGAGACGCCGGAGAAGCGGCGGCGACGAGCCCGCCGGAGGCCGTGGAGCTGCCCATGAAGCGGATGAGGTTCAAGGCTCAGATGCCGCAGCAGCTGTTCCTGGAGCAGCTGGACGAGCGCGAGGAGATCCCGTCGGAGGAGTGGAACAGCCGCATGCCCGAGGGTTGTCGGCAGAGGATCGCGGCCGAGGCGCCGTCGGAGATCTACGCGTCGGGAAAGACGGCGGATGCTTGGGCGCGAGATTTTAACCGGGATCGAGGGCTGTCCGACTGCAACGCGGCGCGGGAGATGATCGCGGCCTTCGCGGCGGTGGACGCGATGCTGATGACGGATCGCCAGGAGGGGCCCCTCAACTTGGTGGGGTTCGAGCGCTTGGTGCGAAAGGGGCATGCGATCGTCGGGGCCTACCGCGACGTGAACTGCCGAGACGATTGGGGCCGCCCGAGGGACGCCAAGGGTTGGAAGTCCAGGGTCGACTGGGAGGCGGCGCGCAGGTTAGATCCTCAGCTGGCGGACGAGAGTGCGATTCGAGTGAGGAGTGCCGAGGAGGAGGTGAAGAAGGCCATGGGTCGGGGCGCGCAGCTGATCAAGGCGCGCGCCGACCTGGGCGGGGGAGCGGCAGCAGCGCCGTGACGCCCAAGGAACTTCAATTTGGGATGCTCGGCGCGTCGTCGGTCGGCTCTTGCAGCAGGGGCGGGCGTCTTCCTCCGCTTCTGCACCTTTTGGCTATCGTGTTCTTTTTTCCTGCTGCTGACGAGCATCCTCGTCGGCGGCCGCGTGGGCTCGTGCGCGCCGAATGGGGGCTTCTATGTCTCGGCGGCGCGACGTCCTGTCCGAGGTGGTGCTGCCCCAGCGCTCGGAGCGCCCGAGTTTGACGTCTCGTCGGGCGCTGACGCGCTGGAAAGAGGAGGTGGAGATGCTTGGGCGAGCGAATCGCTTTCTCTTGGAGCTGCGACAACTCTACCGTGGGAGTCTGGACGACAGCCTGCTGGAGCTGGCCGAGTGCTGGGGGCGGGGGCCGATGCCCGACAACCTGGGCGGGGACCTCTCTCGGCGCGTGCTGGGGGAGGTTCGTCGCCAACAACCGCCGCCGACGACGCCCTGTCAAGGGGCCGCGATCCTGCGGCTGCGCGCTGCCGCTTCCGCGGCGGGCAACCAGTCCCGGTCGACCTTCAAGGAGTGGTTGGCCGAACTTCGGAGGTGGAGTGCTGGCGGAAGTGCGCGGCTGCCAGACAGGGGCGACGCGTTCCCCACCCAGTGGGACCGAGACGCTCCACCTCCCCTGGGGGCCAGACCTGCGAAGGTGAGGAGCGCGTCGCCTCGGGCGGCGCGAAAGTTGGAGAAGTTCAAGGAGGTGATGTTGAGAGAAGACGGCGATGCCTGCGTTCAGGCCTGCGAGGTGCGCAACTTTGTGGACCCGCACTTTGGGGGGAAGAAGGAGATGCTGCAGCTCGCCTGGAGGATGGCTTTGGTGGGTGTGCTCTGTCGGACTGCCGAGAAGGTAAACGAGGTCGGGCTCTTTTGCGCGGTGAAGAAGGCCGAGGTGGTGGGGGGCGAGCCCGAGGTTGCGCTCCGACTGGTGTTCGACTAGAGGCGCTCCAACACTCGGTGGCGGTCTCCGCCGTGGAATGCCATGGGCGGAGTGAGTAGTGAGTGCCACGTCGTTCTTGGGCGTGTCGGAGGAGATGAAGGAGGACGGGGTGACCATTCGGTTCGGCACGGGCGACCTGCCCGACTTCTACGACACGCTGGAGCCGGGCGAGGAGATAGCGCCCTACTTCGCGCTGCTTGGCGTCAGGGGGGGCGAGCTGGACGCCACGTCGGGGTGAAGGTTGCTCTGATGGGCTTCTCATGGGCATGCTGGATGGCTCGGATAACCATGGAGGACATCTTCAATGCCGGCCCGCAGGCTGGCTGGGGCCCCTTGTCCGAGGGTCAGCGGCTCGCTGGGGGGGGCCCTCTGCCGCACCTCAGCCCGCGGCGCATTGCGAGTACATCGACGACTTCGGGATCGTCGGGCTCGGCTTCCCCGCGGCGCCGGGCCAGGTGGAGGTGGTGACGGCGGAGGACATCCGGCTCGGCGCCAAGGAGCTGGCGGCGGCCGCCGGTTTCCAGGTGCATACGGGCGCGCGCGCGGAGGCCGCTCGCATGATCGGGGGCGACTTCAAGGGCACTCGGCTGGCTCCGAACCAGGACAAGCCGCGGTTCGCGGTGCTCGGCATCCAGGCGATCCTGATCAGCCGGCGGGAGTTGCCCGACTCGATCGCGCACATCGTTGGCATTCTGTCCTGGGGCTTCTTGATCTGCCGGGGGGCGCTGAGCATTTTCTCGGAGGTTCACGCCTGGTGCATGGAGTTTCGTGGTGGAGCTCGGCGCGAGGTGCCGCAAGAGGTGTTGAAGGGGCTGGCGGCTGCGGCTGCGATCGCACCCTTGGTCTCGGTCGACCCGGCGATGCCCTGGGACCTCGCTGTGATGATGTTCGACGCCAGCGTGCACGGAGGCGCCATCATTTCCACGGCGGCTACGGTGGAGGAGCAGCGTCGGGAAGCCCGCCATGCTGTTCGAGGTGGCTGGACAGTCTGGACTGGCATATCGTCGTGGGCCTCGGACTCGTGGTGCGAGTTTGTTGACCTCCAGACTGTCGAGCCACTTGACGTCGTCGTCAGTGTACGCGAGGAGAAATGCCCCACGACCGGCAAGCCGCACCTGCAGTTCCATATCACATTCAAGCGGACGTACACTCTCGCTGCGCCCCCGGCGGCATCGAGTTCGCGCGTCAGGAAAATATCACGTTATGTTTCAAGTGGCTGGCGCCACGCTTCCGTCGCCCCGAGCTTCGGTGAGGTTTTGGGCGGGGGCCTCTAAACGTGCGTTGTAGCATACACTGATTTTTTTTGGCCCTCGCCTTTCTCACCTTCCCCCCCCGCCTTCTAATCGGTCGGCGGGGGGGAGGGCCGGGGCGGCGTCTGGAAGCACGTGGGGACGTCCGAAATAGCGACAGCGTGCTATTTGTGTTCTCCGCTCATGTCCCCCCTCCCTCCCTTCTCTCTTTCGCTTCTTCTCCCCGCCCACGTTCCTCATCGCAGTTCCGTGGGGGCAAAAATTTCGGCGGCATCCGAGACTTGAGGGTGCCGCCACCGTCGAAGCCTGCCGCCGCCTCGGCGGCATCGAGTTCACGTGCCAGGAAAATGACACGTTATTGTTCAAGTGGCTGGCGCCACACTTCCGCCGCCCCGAGCCTAGGTGAGGTTTTGGGCAGGGGCCTCTAAATCTTCGTTCTCTCACTTGATGTGGTGTCTGTGATGATTTCCAGGCTTGTCCCCTTCTGAGTCGGGAGGGAGTTGTGCGTTCTTTACTTTGGCCGCGTAAGTGCCCGTGGCGCCCATGGGCGTGGGGCTGAATAAATGATGAGGACGAGGAGGACGAGGACGGAAAGCAAGAGGCGGAGGCAGAAGAGGACGAGGCGGGGAAGGAGGAGGAGGACGACGACGAAGAGGAGGCGGAGGATGAGGAGGAGGGGGAAGAGGAAAGAGGGCAAGAAGGGTAAGGATAGTAAGGAGGAAGCGGAGGCATAGGCGGAGGTGGAGGAGTAAGATAAGGAGGAAGAAGGAGGGGAGGGAAGGGAGGGAGGAGGGACGAGGGTGAGGAAGGAGGAGGGATGATGGAGGAGGGGTGAGGGCCAGGTTCAGATGCGGTGGCGACGGGTGCCCCTCGACCCCGCGCCGCCGGGCAGCGCGGATGAAATCGGTGCGTCAGGCAGGCGGCGTGCCCCACCTTGGAGCAGCGCGGCCCTCCGTGCGTAGGGGGGGCGACAGACACTGCAGGCGCTCCGGTGCGGGTGGCTTCGAGCGCGTGCCGCCAAAATGAGCACAGCCTTCGGCGGCCCCCTCTGCTCTTCCTCCATCGAAAACCACGGTGCCCCTTGTCGGTCGGTTAGGTACAACCAGAATGTTCGACAGAGCCTGTACGTGCGCGCGAATGTGCGCGTGGGTGAGGGCGTAGAATAAGTAGTGGAAGCAATAGCAGTAGTAGCCGCAGCAGCAGTAGCAATGGTTGCTGTCGTAGTTGTAGCATTTGTAACACTAGGAATGCCAGCACAAGTACTCATAGTATAACTAAGTTGGTCTTCGTTGTAGTATCACTAGTAGTAACAGTCGATGTCCTGTCGCTGTAGTGATACACTTGGTAGCAAACGTAGTAGTCGCAGTAGTAGAAGTAGGAGCAGGAGCCGTAGTAGTAATCGTAGCATTTGTAGTATCCGTAATCGTATTATTATTATTAATATTATTATTATTATTATTATTATTAGTAGTAGTAGTAGTAGTAGTAGTAGTAGTAGTAGTAGTAGTAGTCGTAGTCGTAGTAGTAGTAGTAGTAGTAGTAGTAGTAGTAGTAGTAGTAGTCGTAGTCGAAGTAGTAGTCGAAGTAGTAGTAGTAGTAGTAGTAGTCGTAGTAGTAGTAGTAATAGCAGTAGTAGTAGTAGTAGTAGTAGTAGTAGTAGTAGTAGTAGTAAAGGGAGTAGCCGTAGGAGTAGTACTGCGACTAGTAATAGTAGAAGTAGCACTCGTAGTAGTTGTGGTAGAAGTAGTAGTAGGAGTAGTAGTAGTAGTAGTAGTAGTTGTAGTGGTAGTAGTAGTAACAGCAGCAGCAGCAGCAGCAGCAGTAGTAGTAGTAGTAGTAGTAGTAGTAGTAGTAGTAGTCGTAGTAATCGTAGTAGTAGTAGTGCTAGTAGTAATCGCAGTGGTAGTAGAAGTCGTAGTAGTAGCAGTAGTAGTAGTAGTAGTAGTAGTAGTAGTAGTAGTAATAGTAGTACTAGTCGTGGTAGTAGTAGTAGTAGTAGTAGTAGCAGCACAAGGGGAAAACATCAGTAGTAGTAGTAGTAGTAGTCGTAGTAGTAGTAGCGGTAGGAGCAGTAGTAGTAGTAGTAGTAGTAGCAGTAGCAGTAGTGGTAGGAGTAGTAGTGGTAGTAGTAGTATTAGCAGTAGTCGTCGTAGTAGTCGGAGTAGTAGTCGAAGTAGTAGTAGTCGTCGTAGTAGTAGTAGTAGTGGTGGTGGTAGTAGTAGTAGTAGTAGTAGTAGAGGTAGCAGATCCACGGGTAGGTGGACAAGTAAGAGTGGAACTGAGAGCAGAAGTATAAGTAGCAGCAGATGCAGTAGCTGCAGTAGCAGTAGAAGACATTGTAGTCGTAGTAGTAGTAGTAGTAGTAGTAGTAGTAGTAGCAGCAGCAGTCGTAGTAGCCGTAGTAGCAGCAGTAGTAGTAGTACTCGTCGTAGTAGTAGCACTAGTAGTAGTAGTACTAGTAGTAGTAGTAGTAGTAGTAGTAGTAGTAGTAGTAGTAGTAGTAGTAGGGGTAGGAGTAGTAGTAGTAGCAGTAGTAGTAGTAGTAGTAGTAGTTTTAGTAGTAGTAGTCGTAGTGGTGGTCGTAGTGGTGGTAGTGGTGGTGGCTGCAGTCGCAGAAGTAGTATTAGTATTAATAGTAGTAGTAGTAGTAGTAGTGGTAGTAGTAGTAGTAGTAGTAGTAGTAGTCGTAGTAGTAGTAGTAGCAGCAGTAGTAATAGTAGGCGTCGTAGTAATCGCAGCAGTAGTGATGGTGGATGTAGAACTAGTAGCAGTAGTAGTAGTAGTAGTCGTACCCATAGTAGTAGTAGTACTAGTAGTAGTGGTAGTAGTAGTAGTAGTAGTAGTAGTCGTAATAGTAGTAGGTAGGTAGTAGTAGGAGTAGTAGTAGTAGTAGTAGTTGTAGTAGCATAGTAGTAGTAGTAGTAGTAGTAGTAGTCGTAGTAGTAGTAGGAGTAGTCGTAGCCGTAGTCGTAGTAGTAGTAGTAGTAGTAGTAGTAGCAGTAGTAGTAGTAGTAGGAGTAGTAGTCGCAGTAACACTAGTAGTAGTGGATCGTTGTGTAGTGATAGTAGCAGCAGTAGTAGTAGTAGTAGTTGTTGTGGTAGTAGTAGTAGTAGTAGTAGTAGGAAAAGGGCAGTAGTAGTCGTAGTCGCATTAGTAGGAGTTGACGTAGACGTCGTAGAAGTACTACTGGTAGTAGCCGTAGTAAGAGTAGGTGTAGGTGCAGTAGTAGTAGTAGTAGTAGTAGTAGTAGTAGTAGTAGTAGTAGTAGTAGTAGTAGTAGTAGTAGTAGTAGTGATCGTAGTAGTAGTAGTAAACGTAGTCGTAGTATTAATAGAAGTAGTAGCAGTCGTAGTAGTAGTAGTAGTCGTAGTAGTAGTAGTAGTAGTAGTAGTAGTAGTAGTCGCAGTCGTAGTAGTTGTAGTAGCAGAGTTATAGTAGTTATAGCCAGTAGTAATCTAAGTAGTAGTAGTAGTAGGAGTAGTAGTAGTAGTAGCCGTTAGTAGTAGTAGAGTTTAGTAGTAAGGAGCAGGCAGTGTAAGTTAAATAGGCGAAGTAAGTAAGTAGTAGAAGTTAGTGGTAGTAGTCGCAGCAGTAGTAGTCGTCAGTGGTGTAGCCCGTCGTTAGTAGTAGTAGGAATAGTAGTAGTTAGTAGTAGTAGTAGTAGAGTAGTTAAGCATTGCGTAGTCATATTCGTAGTAGTAGTAGCTGTTTAGTAGCATGAGGTAGTAGTAGCTTAGTCGTAGAGTAGTAAGTAGTAAATTAGTATAGTAAGTAAGTTAGGTAGTTAGTAAAGTAGTAGTCGTAGTAGTAGTAGTAGTAGTAGTAGTAGTAATAGTAGTAGTAGTAGAGTTAGTCGCAGCTGTAACAGTAGTAGTCGTAGTAGTAGTAGTAGTAGTAGTAGTAGTAGTAGTAGTAGTAGCAGTAGTAGTAGTAGTAGTAGTAGTAGAAGTGGTAGTGGTAGTGGTAGGGGGGTAGGAACAGGAGTAG